AGCGGTCGCGTCCCGGGAGTCAGGGGATTGCGGCTGACCAGCACCCGCTCGCCCTCGAAAGTCGTAATGTCCGGGATCTCCCCCAATGTGTTCATCTCCGGTGTGTAGGCGGAGGAAGGAATTTTGGGAAGTTGAGACATTTTTGTTGAAAGTTCAGAGAGTTTTCAGAAAGCTTAGAGTTTTGGAAAGTAAAAAATGAAGCGCTTAAGCAGCTTACTTATAGTAAGCCAGAGGTTTTCAGAAAGCTGAGACATTTTTGTTGAAAGTTCAGAGAGTTTTCAGAAAGCTTAGAGTTTTGGAAAGTAAAAAATGAAGCGCTTAAGCAGCTTACTTATAGTAAGCGGTGGGCCCAAGCCCATCTATCACCTTTTCAAGCCGAAAAGGAGGGGCCACTAACCTCTCCAAGCCCACAAGGCCCAAACGGCCCGTTCAAGCCCATGATGCCCCGCTTAAGCAATTTGACGCCAGTATGCGGCTCGTACACTTCAGCAATTTTGTCTACTCACCGCACAAGGGGCAGGAGCATCAAATTGCCCAGATTACCCTCAGGTAAGTTTTCTTACCCTCAGGTAAGTTTTCTTTTAAAACACTGCATCAGGAAGGGTATACTTGAAAATTCAGGCTTAAAATTTTATCTGGCCTAAATTTTTGCTAAATTTTTGCAAAACTATTAAACCAAATTTTGGCAATAAACACTGAAAGGTATGCTTACAAAGCTAATATTTTTGGTCCTAGGTCGGAATTCCAGACTAGGGGCCAAAATATAATCTTTGCCCTGATGCAAACTTTTAAAATTTATGATTAATGCATGGGGGCATGTGGCGTCTCCACATTTCTTTCTAACAAAAGGCAAGGTCTGTTTGTACACAGATATTGCTCTTTTTCTCTTGAACAATTTTTCAGGCCAACCGGTGATCGTTTTTCGAAGCCGATAGGTCCCACTGAACAGTGATGGTGTATTACGAAGCTGTTCGGATCGTTTTTCTCGATTAGTGATGGTGTACTGCGAAGGGTGTACTTGCGAAAGATGATCAGGACAATTTCAACCACCAAGCCAGTGATGGTGTATTACGTAAGCTGTTTGGACTCTCTCCCGATCAATGATGGTGAATTGCGAAGTTGACCAGGGTAATTAAAACCCTTCGGCCAAATCAACCGAGCCTCGAAGATATCTCCTATCCAATCAGACCGAATTTTGGATGTCGTTTACTGTCCGACTGGAGCCGCAGACGAGCCGATCAAAACCAAGCTGAGTAGTGGCCAATGATCAAGTCAACTCAACATCTTTTCAAAGCTCCAATCAACCGAGCTTTGAGGATGAATTATCTAGATTGAAGGCGCGTCAAATAGACCACTTTAACATTAATCGTTTATACAATTAATGGATAAAGTGGGGGGGCAACTGTTGACGCGTGTTTTTAATGCCCCGCTAACCCGATGAGGATACGAGGACATTGAATAAGAATCATGGTTAACCGGAAGTCTTTTAAACCAAGAATCGATTTTAAACCATTCCAAGGAAGTCTGACCTGTACTAGGGTTGGCTCAACGCAGCTATAAGGTGGCGTGACGGCACTAATAGTTCTGTTGACGCGTGTTTTTATGCCCCGCCTAACCCGATGAGGATACGAGGACACGGAATAAAGAATCATGGTTAACCGGAAAGTCTTTAAACCAAGAATCAATTTAAACCAATTCAAGGAAGTCTGACCTGTACTAGGGTTGCGTCACGCTAGTTGCGTATGCAACTATGTTCTGTTGCCCTACTAATATAAATACAGCATTTTTATCTTTTAAAAGGGACTTTTTTGAGAAAACTAGAGAGCGATTTTTGAGAGAAGACAGAAAACATTTGCAGCTAGGTTTTCTACAAGAACTCCTTTGAGTTATCTTGAAGAAAAACGAGCTTTAGAGATTAACTAGGTTGAAAAACAAAATCACAACAAATCACCAAAAAAAGAGAAGAAGAAGAGAAAGAAAGAAAAGAGGTTTTTGGTTTAAAACTTTGTAAAAAGGCTTTCCTGTGATCTCGAAACTTTATTCTTAAGACAATTCAATCGTGGTGCATCCTCAAATCTGAGGGGTTTAGGTAATCATGCTAAGACTCTTCTTGTTATTTTCTTAGTTGTTTAATTTATTGAATATCTATTGTTGGGTTTGGGTAGTTTTGATAGTTGGTTAAATAGTATTCTGACCTATTATTTGGACATTTCTGAAAGATATTTAACAAGTTTGATAAACAAGAAAACGTAAAAAAGGTAGTTTGAAGGTAGTTGTGGAACCAGAAGCAGTTGCGTCAGCAGCTACAACTGCATGAACGAACTGTTCATGTCGCAAAGAGGTTGAACATTAGCCTGACTAGTCGCGTGACGGAACTGTTCGTGGTTATAATTTTTATCCTCGTTTTCATGTTTTTTTTAATAATTATGATTTTAAATAAATGTGATTTGATAAATCTGAGATTTTGGGGCTAGTCACGAACAGCTGGCGTCAGACGCAACTAGGTAGTTCCGTGACAGCGACTGTTCTTCCTAGAAACAGCTGCGTGACGCGAACTGTTCTAGGGTTCCAGAATAATTTTCATTTTTTATTCAATTTTGTGGTAATTAAAATATAATGTCCATTTCTTTTTATAATTCAAGAAATAATCAATAATGGGCAGATTATGGTTTAATCAGATCAAATAGGTTAATATTTTATTATGTATGATTTTGGGTTATTAGGGTTTATTGGATTTATATTGAGCAGAATGTATTTTAAATCCAGTTTGTGGCCCACCTTTAACCATAAGGCAAGAGCAGGTCCTTTAATTATTTTAATTGCTATGGGTTGAATGATTGATGTGGTTTGAATAATTATGAATGCAATGAATGGATTTATTTGGGACGATTAAATAATTTTCTATATAGGAACTCGGTTCGATTTATTCGGGTTGGGTTTAAATAAATAAATTATAAATTGGGTTTTCTAAAATAAGAATAAAATTTGAAATTGTAGGTTAAAAGAGGCCGGTTTTCCGGGTTGTCGGCTTCCAACGGGCTGACGTACCCAATTTCCTTACCTCTCAGAATCGCACTTTGGTGCGCCTGACCAGTCTTTAATAATTAGCCTTAAATAATTGGGGTTAAATGACAGTCACTTTTAATTGGAACGGTCCATTGCCGAAAAAATGGGTGGCGACTCAAATGTTTTTAAGACCGATTCATCGGAATCGCGTTCCTAAAAGGTTTTGTCATCACCATTTTCTTAATAAGATCCACGTTTAATAAAAAAATCAACCTTTCCAATAAATAATTAAAACATAAATCGAGCGGTTCTTCGTGTCGCTCGGGGGCGGTGCGAAAACAGGTTCAAGTTCAATATTTTAAAATTTTTGAACCGACGGTTCAATAAACTGGCTATGCCTAATTTCAACATGCAAACACTTATTCAAAATTATATTTTGTTCAATTATATTAAACTTTTATTTATAGAACAACTAACTATTGCTAACAAATATTAATATTTTATAAATTTATATTTTTTCTATTTTTTTACTTACATACTGAAAAATCATTAAGTCATTATAATTAACCAAGTAATAAATTACAATTTAATTGCAAGATGCTCAAATAATGTTTACAAAGGGTAAAAATGTAAAATTTATAATAATATCATTTTCTTTCCTCCATAATTTTAGGCTTTCCAAACGAAAGAAAATAAAATTATTTTCTATTCAAAACTTGCCCACCAATTCTTCAGAATTTCGAAGAATGGATTATTTTTTTATTCTTCTTAATTAGTTTCAGAGCCAGGCATGTACATCATTACATCAGTAACGGTGGTTGATAAAAATATTTATAATGTGAGAAATGAGAAATAGAAATGTGAGAAGCCATAGATCTGTAATTGGAACTTGGTATATTATAGGTTGTTCTTTCCAAGTCTTCTAGCAAGGAGGGAGAAATATCGAGTTTGAAGTCTCTTTATGTATCATTTTTGTCTATTAGACATCTTATATATATACTTTTAAATGACTGAATAAATAAATCTAATGAATCCATTCTAGTTTAGCTTATTTTATAAAAAACTAGTTTAGCTTATTTTATAAAAAAAGTATAATTAAAATAGTTATGCATTTATAATTTTTTTTATGAATAAAAATTAATTATTAACTTTTTATTAGTGTAAAACACATAAAAATTTTGAGTGTGCAATTACTTAATGTGAAATAAGTTTACTAATCTCAATATACATAAAAAACATACCATATGTATATTTTTTACCGTGTATATAAATTCGCCTTTGTATTTTGTGACTTTAATTTTATGGCATCCTGAATTTTGTAGATGACCTATTATGCATATGAATTTGTAAATTTTGATAATATTATATACATTTTGACCCTAATGTTAATAATTTTTACGATTTTTGACTTTTATCTGCAAAATATCAACTTAATATGTAGTTAGCATGATTTTTGAAAAAATAATTTTCATAAATTTTAAATTTTTTAATGAGTATTTAATTAATCTAATTTTATAAATTGAAGTGTTTAATAAAAAATTTGAAAAATTAAAGCATTTCATAGATGTAATTTTATAAGTTGAAGTGTTTGATTAGTGAAAGTAAAAATTGAGAATGTTATAAGATTAAAGTAATTAAGTTTAGAAGTTAATTTATTAATTTGCCTATATTTTTTGTTTGGTTTGATTTGGACCCAAGTTTAGAAGTTAATTTATTAATTTGCCTATATTTTTTGTTTGGTTTGATTTGGACCCTTAAATTTTTTTTTTTTTTTTGGTAATATGGACTGTTTTAAATTTAAAATCATAAATTAAACCAATAAATTAATTTGTCATATATTTTAAACTAAACTAAATTAATCTATTTTCCTATAAAAAATAATCTTTTTAAATTATGGTTTTTGATTTATCAGTTTGCAATTTGTACCGACAGCGCAATTGAAGAATACTCCGAAGTAATAAAAAAAAGTGAAAAAGCAGGAACTCCATTCGCACACGCCACACCCAGCAAGCACCAATCTGGCAATTTCCACTGCTTGCTTTCACAGTTTCACTTATTTATAAGAAGAGTACGAGTACCAGTCCCACATTCCCTTCTCTTCAATATTGCTGCTTGATATTGATCTTGTCTTAAGACACTAACAAAGAGTTCTTGCTTCTTCATCTTGTCCGAAAAATTTCTTCATTTTGTCCAAAAACACCCAACCATGGCTTATTCTTTTGTAGAGAATACGAGATTTTACCCTTCAACATCCTCCATATTGTCCTTGTACGCTTCAGTTTCCACTTCCTTAATGCTCTTGCGTAATGTTTACCATGAATTAGTACCGAAGAAGCTCGAGACTTTTCTTGTCTCAAAATTCTTGATCTTCTTCTCTCGTAGAAAATCATCTCCTTCTTATGATACCTTCATAATTGATGATTCGTGGGACGGTCTTGATTGCAACAAACTCATAGACGCAGCAAGATTCTACTTGTCTTCCAAGATCGGCCCTAAAAACAAAATTATTAGAGTTGGTAAGTTTAGAGGGCAAAAGAATGTAACAGCTGCCTTAGTAGAAGGTGAGAAAATTGTTGATGTCTATGAAGGGATAGAAATTACATGGCAATATGCAAAGCAAGAAAAGGACGATCAATCCAAGAATGGTAAATTCTATGACAAATGTTATTTTGAACTAACATTTGAAGATCAATATAGAGAAAAAATCTTTAATGGTTACTTAAACCACATTTTGGATACTTCCAAGGCCATGACAAAAGGCGAAAAGGTTTTAAAGCTTTATACAAGGTCTGGAGGTTTTTGGGATTCCATTGATTTTCGACATCCATCGACATTTGATACGCTAGCGATGGATCACAACCTAAAGAAGTCTATTATAGATGATATAGATAGGTTCTTGGCAAGGAAAGACTACTATAAGAGAATTGGAAAGGCTTGGAAAAGAGGATACTTACTCTATGGTCCTCCTGGCACTGGAAAATCAAGCTTAATTGCAGCTATGGCTAATTACCTCAAGTTTGATGTGTATGGCTAATTACCTCAAGTTTGATGTGTTTGATTTGGAGCTGGCCAATATTATTTCTGATGCTGATTTGAGAAAAGCTATGCTGGATATTAATAGAAAGTCCATAACTGTGATTGAGGACATAGATTGCAATTCTACTGCGAATAATCGATCAAGATCAGAATCTGATGATTCTGATAATGTCCAGGTTAGTATCTGTTCTGTTTTGGTCTACTCTCTTATGCTCTGTTTTGTTGATACTTTTATTTTAGAAATGGGATAAGTCTACTCTGTTTTGCTCTGTTTTGTTGATATTTTTATTTTAGAGGTGGGATTGGTTAAAACTAGTTTTTGGTTCTCGTAATTTGGATCAAGCAGCTATTTTCGCTCTCTGGTCTGCTAAATTGCATTGATGGATTGTGGTCAAGCTGTGGAGAAGAAAGGATAGTAGTGTTTACGACAAATCACAAGGAATTTTTGGACCCAGCATTGCTTCGTCCTGGCAGAATGGATATGCACATTCACATGTCATATTGTACCAGTGAAGGATTTAGAGTTTTGGTGGGAGGATTTAGAGTTTGGTGTACAATTACCTTGGGAATTAAAGTTACCTTGGAATTAAAGAGCATAAACTGCTTGAAGAAATTGATGGGTTGATACAAAGTGCAGAGGCCACTCCTGCTTCTTTGGCTGAGGAATTATTGAAGACTGATGATCCTGATGTTGCTCTTGGAGAAGTACTCAATTTTCTTAAGCAACAGTAAAATTAAAAAGGATAATGAAGAAAAAATTGTAGAGGAAAAGGAAAGCTCTGTTTAGTGAATCCAATTTGGTCTTTCCCTTTTTTTAGCGTAGTTATTAAGTTTTTATTAGAAAAGAAATGTCCAGCCTTTCTCCAATGCCCTACTTGGATTCTCTACAGTAGAGGTTTATTATTAAGTTTTTTTTTTTTTTTTTTTTTTTTTTTTTTTTTTTTTTTTTTACTTACTGAAAATGTATATTTTTTACAAAACATTTTGTTTTTTTACATGTCGTAAAAGTAGAAATTATTTTGCAGTGACAATTTTTACGAAATAAATCATCTTTTTTATAAAATTCTTTGCTTTTTGTATTATTTATAAAAATATATTATTTTGTATCGTACCCTTTTACAAAATTCTTTATTTTCTGATAACATGTTAATGAAAATATAAACTATTTTATAATTCATCTAACTTTACTTTATTAGAAATACTAGAAATATGCACGGTTAAAAAAAAGTAAAATAAAGTAAAACCGCGAGAAATTATATATAATTTATAGATTTTTGAATAAAATTTTTTTATTATGTTATTAAAAAATATTATAAAGATATATTAATAGTAAAAAATATATACACCGTCATTTTTTATTATTAAAATAAAAATTAATAGAAAAATTAATAGATAGGTATGTGTTCAGAAATAATAGATTAAAAAAATTAAAATTTATAGAGATAAATTAAAAAAAAAGTAAAATAAAAGGTGGTTAAATTCATTAATTTGATTTATTTTAAAATTAATGTAAAAAATAATTAACTCATTGTTCATTAAAATTCATGAATAAATAATTTATTTTGTTACAAATTAATACATTAGTACATTAATTGAATAATTCATTGTTATTAAACTTTATAATTTTTTTAAGAACTAATAATTAATAATAATTACTTAAAGCCATTAATACATTAAATGACCGAATCAAATCAAACCAAACTAAAAACACTAATCAAATCAAACCAAACTAAAAACACTAAATCTAAATAAATCTAAATCAAACCAAATCAAAAACACTAGCTCAAAATAAATTCAAATTAAAACAATACAATAATACATTGAGTAATCAAATCAAACCAAACCAAAAATACTAATTCAAAATAAATCCAAACCAAGTCAATACATTAATAAATTAAATAATCAAATCAAACCATGCTAAGTGGAAGCCTAATTGGAGAAATATGTCACATGTCAAATTAAAATGCCAAGTGGATATGTCATATGTCAACTTTTTAGGAAAATATGTTTGCTATATATATATATTATGTGTTAACTACACAAATGTAATCCTTTTTATAAAATGTTTAAATATGAACATAATATTTTATAATGCAAAAGTTAATAGCTAATAATGAAGTATTAATATAAGTATTTGAAATAACGAAAATTAACCGTTAATAATAATATATTTGTTAAGAGAATTAATAAGAACTTTTAATGATATACATTTATAAAAAATTATATACTACTTGCGTTCTATAATACTTGTTACATTTTAGAAAATAGTTTGTTTCAAAATATTTGTCACATTTGTGATTTTAAGAAGTAATAAATCTCTTTTTTCCATATTTACCCTTTATATATAACAAATATTCCCCCTTCCCAAAAAGATAATTTACCTTTCCTTTTTGGTTTGTTCTAAAATATCACTTTTCTTTTTTTACATTATAGTTAATTCCTAAATTGTCTACTATATCCTTATTAAATTTTACCACTTTCAATAAACCCTCATTAATTCTTACTTATTATTTCAATATAATAATTGCTCGTATTATTTATGATGGACATAATAAGAAAGTTATATGAATGCAATTGTCATTTAACCATAATAACTACTATTTCTTAATCTGAGTAAAAATATAAAGTCGATTATTTTTTTGAGTCGGAGGTAGTAATTATTACTTCAATTTAATGATTTTCTTAAAAAATAGTATTAAATTAAGGGTAATACAGTCAATTTACTTAATAATTTATTGTAACTTTGACAAATTTAATGATTTTCTTAAATGACGTGAAATTTCAAACGTGACAAATATTATGGAGCAGAGATAGTAATATAATATAGCGTGTGATTTGAATTTTTTTACACAAATAAAAGTAGGCTTTTAAAAAATCAAGTTGATGAAAATGATTTTGGGTTAAATAATTAAATATTAATAATCCCTCCATTCCAAAAACAGTCCACTTTCTATTTTCACATAGATTAAGAAAGTAGCAATTATTATGATTAAAGAACAATTTTATTCATATAACTTTCCTATTATGCTGATCTTAAATAACATATGAGCAATTGTTATATTCTCTCCGTTCCAAAAAGATAGTTTACTTTTTATTTTCACATAGATGAAGAAAGTAGCAATTATTAAGGGTAAACGATAGTTTTATTCATATAACTTTCCTATTATACTCATCTTAAATAAGACATGAGCAATTATTATATTGAAATAATAAATAAGAATTAATGAGGGTTATATAAGACATGAGCAATTATTATATTGAAATAATAAATAAGAATTAATGAGGGTTATTGAAAATAAGATAAAATTTAATAAAGGTATAATAGATAATGTAATAATTAACTATAATATAAAATAAAAAAAGTGTATTATATTTTGGAACAAACTAAAAAGAAAATATGATTATCTTTTTGAAACGGATGACGTAATGATTTGCCAATCAAATGGTGGTTTGGTTGGTCTTTTCACTTATGTAAAGAGTAGAAAGTTTAGAGTTGTGCAGTCTGTAGTACTATTTCGTCTCATAAAAGCCTCTAATGAATTAAAAAAATTATTTAATAGTAATTAAGCAATCATTTTGTTTTTAAACTAAATAGGAATTTTTTTTTACCTATTATTGTATAGTTGGCTTCTCTTTCGTTCTAGCATCCAATAGCTAAGATTTAAACAATAAAATCTAATGGCTATTAATTATTCACCATGATGCAGAATTATTAACATTCTGTACTGATTCTGTACTGCACTGTAGTTTGTCACTAACTATAGATATCTCATATTATCAATTTTTCTGACAGATACAAATTATTTAATTTTTTTTTACTATATTTGCACATTTCTTTTTTCAATTTTACTAACATACAATTTGTAATGCTACATATTTTTAATTATTTATTTAAAATTCAGAAAAAAAGAAAATACATTAATCCAAATACGTATTTCCTGGAAAATTGTGTGGATTCATGAAAGTTTTAATTTTTTCAATTGTATATTCAAAATTAAAATTTTTACTAATATCCAAAAATATTTATATAAAAATAAAATTATGAGCCTTATAAATTTTTTCTTTTACTGTTTAATGGCAAAAAGAAGAAAATAATTGCATTAAAAAGCTGACAGGAAGCCTTACAATACAATATTTGAAAATAATTTTCTTTTATGGCTATTAAGTCTACATGTCCTTGTGATTTGCCTTGGTTAAGGGGTCATTTAATTCTACTTTCAATTTATTTATTTTTTTATGTACACGTGCTATGTCCTCGTTTGTCCTCAAAATTCAAGGAAAGTATCCTTAAAGGCATGATAGAAAATGAATGTTTGTCCTCAAAATTCAAGGAAAGTATCCTTAAAGGCATGATAGAAAATGAATGTTTGTCCTCAAAATTCAAGGAAAGTATCCTTAAAGGCATGATAGAAAATGAATGTTTGTCCTCAAAATTCAAGGAAAGTATCCTTATGACACTCTTCATTTTACGGAAATTTATCATATTTTTGAAATTATTAATTTTAATAATAATAATGCCCCTTATTATATATAAATTTTAAATACAAACTGGAAAGTGACGCTTTAAATATTATTTGAAAAAGTAAAGTTATTTATGTTTTCTAATGTCATTCTTTGAAAATGACCAAAAAGCGTAAAAAGAGAATAAGTTTGTTTGTTGTCATTTGCAAAGTGACGTGTACTACTAAGTTCTTCAAAGATTCCCATTTGCTAAAGTATAAGATAGAACTCAATTTTGAATAGGAAGCAACTACCTTTTTGGAAAATGTTACAATAAATCAAAGAAAATGAATTTTTTTTTTACCAGAGTTACATGAGACCGGATGGACTGGCCGCTGTGAAAGTGGCACGGAAATTATACCATTGGTCCATGGCCCAATTCCCCTTTATAAAAAAAATTAAAAAAAAAAAAAAAGGAAGAAGAAGAAGAAGAAGAAGAAGAGAGCTGTGCTTTAAGAATTACAAGAAACACCCACCAGATCATGTAAAAGTCATGATCAAGAAGATAATGAGTGCCCCGGGTAAACTTGCGAGCCAATTTTGATGGCTGAATACATAAATTAATCATTGTATTTTGTAATTTTAACCTTGTGGTACCTTAAACTTTACGAACGACCTATCGGCATTTAAACTTGTAAATTTTAATAATACTAGACATATTTCGACACAATATTCACAATTTTTAAATTCTTTGATTTTTATCTGTAAAATATCAATTTTATTTATAGCTAGCATGACTCTTTGGAGCAAATGCTATGTGGAGCTTGAAGGCACATCTAAGCTTCTTATATTGCTTGAAGAAGCTTGTGTGGATACTGGATAGCACGGCCTGGGGGTGCTGGGAAGCATTCCTTGCCCATGCTAGAGCCTTTCCATTTGTGATTAGTTTTGTTAAAACTAGCTAGTGTAGTCCTTGTGTTGTGGGCTTTAATGTGAGGGCCAAGTGTGCTTTGTTAGCCCATTCCTCGTATGGATTGTAATGTTTTGAATAGGTTTGGGCCACAAATAATTCTGCCAGCCCATGTACTTGGCTTGTTTAGATTAGTTACTTCATACCCTTTAGGGTTTAGACTTAGTATAAAAGCTTTGTTATGTTGTTAACTAAGGATGGTTGATCAATATTGAAATTTCAGAATTGTTCATGCTTTTTGGCATCTTCTTTGATTAGAGTGATTGTGAGATTGCTTTTTTCTAATTGCATCAAGAAACAACAAGGTAAACTTACCAATTTATTTTTGGCGTTTATATTGTTATTCTTTACAGGAGATAAGACAAAGTATATTTCACCAAAATTTTTCTTCACTAATGACCTTCAAAAGAATGGTGATATCGATGTTCAATAAATTCGATCAAGCGACAATCTTGCTGATTTGTTCACTAAAGCACTTCTTACTACAAGTTTTGAAAAGTTGGTGCACAAAATTGGAATGCGTAGACTCAAAGATCTCAAATAATATCTTCATAAGGGGGAGTAACTACGCACTGCACTTTTTTTTACCCTTTAAATAAGGTTTTTTCCCACTGAATTTTCCTAGTAAACGTTTTTAATGAGGCAGTATTTCTTTGCGTATTTTCAAAAAGGAACAATGTACTCTTTTTTTTTTTCCTTCACTAACGAGGTATGTTCTTTGAAAAATGGACATCCAAGAGGGACTGTTATGAAATTAATTAATGTCTCATGTAAGCTAGAAGTCTATATTCTTTATTAGTCTACAAGTCTATTTAATATAAAAGTATATTCCTCTGATTATATACCACTATGTACCTATATATATATATATGTGTGTGTGTGTATGACTTCTCATCAGCAAAGATCACTCTCATTTTTGCTCGTTATTCCTTTTCTTTGTTCCTTCCTATCTTATAATACTCCATCCGTTCTCTTTAGAGAAAACAAAAAAAAAGCTCTAGGATTAAGAAAGTAGATAAACAGAAAATTTTGTCTATTTTTTTGCTAATAATACCCCTAATCAGCTTTAAATGCATAATTAATGGTCAAAAAGACAACTCATTACTAGAGTATTTCAATGGTGCATTTGTTAGTCAAAATTTTTGAGGATCGTAAGAGTCTCCTCAGCTTCAAATTTAGTAAATTTACATTGTTTTTAAAAAAAAAAAGGTACTAGTAAGTAGAAAGTTGTTATCAAAAATGATAAACTCATTTTCTTCGTACGGTGAGTCTAGAAAGAAGCGCGTTGAGTTTATTCGGTACCATGAAATTTGTGCCCAAATTAGTAAGTTGCAGCGTCAATTTTTGACATTGGTAGAAACAAGAAAGCTTCACGATAGCTTCACTCCATGCATGCCCCGCGCCACTGTAACTGATTTACTCAATGCATGAAAATAAAGCTCATTAAAAAATGTACCTCTTCAATAGATATAGCTTGACTGATTTGTAGTTTAGGATCAATCCGTCGTCTTCAACAAAACAATTCTTCTTCTTTGATGGCAAGAGAGGGAGACGAAGAGACATGTACTATAAAAGGCAATTAAGGGAGTGGAAAAGTGGTCCATCCATTACCCTTTTCGCTCTCTGTAATTGTAATGTATAAATAAGGGCATTTTAGTCTTTTCAGTTCATCTTAACGAGCAAATCGGACCTGTGCCGCTGCTGCTGCTGGGAAAACGCCGCTTCCCGTACTGCCATCTCAACGGTAACATTGTCCTTTTTTGTTTAGTTTATCTTTATATTCTATGGAATCAGTTCATCCTTGCATTTATATTTAACTTCATGTCGGTTTGAAGAAGAAAGAGATTAATTTAGTCCAAAGAGATCCCAGGTGTAATAGCTTTGAGTATATTTTACTTGGATTTTATTTAGCTTTCATAAGATTAATCTAGGAATTGTTCTTTTCCTCATGATTTTGATTAAATTGTGATTAGTAATTGTATCCATACATTGAGGGTTGGAAAAATATGTTCAAAATTGCTAAAATTTTCTCTGATCCTGTAATGTTATTGTTTTTTCCTTTTGCTAGGCTGTTCAACCTTTATCTTTGCAATGTTGCGGAAATTGTTAACAGACGGCTCTGTGCGGCAACCATTATGGCGGATGATGTCAAATCGACGCTCCACTGTTAGTTGTTAAACTTATTTTTTTTTATTTTTAGTTTGCTGTCATAATGAACCCTCCTCCTGTATTTATTTTCTCTCTCCTTTTCTCATAATTATATGCAACTTCAAAACTCTAGGGTTTTATGTTTCTCTAAAACCCATTGTTGTCCAAGGTTTTAGACACTTACCCCACATTCCCCTGCATATTTGTCATAGTAAAAGTTTATATTGGATTTTCATACGATTCATTGAACTTATATATCTTGTAGATTGTTTAAAGGATATTCACATTTTCAGTTATTCTGCTTATACAACTTTATATGGATGTATGAAGTTTTGTCGGATTATATTTTACATATATATACTGTCTTATGTTCAATTATGGATGCATCTGTGCATGGAAGTAAAAGTTTATGCTTTGTAGAAGGTAAGCCCCCCATCAGCCTTTACAGTATTAAAAGGGGCTTTAGATGGGAATGGACCCGTTCTCACTAGAACCTTTGGCAATGAGAAAATTAATATCTCTGTAATGCGCTTGGCGAATATCATTCCTGGAAGCGGAGGGGAGGATGATGATGATGACATAAACCAGTTGTTCCTTCACGTGGATGTGTCAAAGCCTGGACAGGAAAAATCTTTGCAGTTTCTATGCGGGCTATATCCAGACGCATTGGGAATTCATTCTTTCGGGAATTCAATTCTGTTTCATTGAGACAGAAGGCTGATGATCTCTCTATTGTTAGTTTCCATTCTTGTTCTATATAACTGTGTTTCTCTTTTTGTAGTGTTTATGTTTTTGGTCTGTTTTACTCTCTATATATGTTATCTATTGTGGGTCTATATTATTATTATGTTCTTAATGGAATATTGTATTATCTTCGTATTGTCTGTTATGTATTTGAGAGAAGAGAATTGCTTCTTTCTGTACATTGATGAACAAGTATCTTTATTGATTATACTCCTCAGTTTGTAATTACCTATTTAATCTATCTGTTTATTCAGGGTTCTATTATATATTCATTATATGTATTGTATGTTTCTTATTGCTTATGCTTTGTGATATTATTATAAAAAATGATTCACAAGGAATATGAAAATTTCTCATCAGAGATGGAGTAGTATTATAAAGTATTAATATAGTTATTCTCCTTATAAATTTTGTAACTGTTTACCTCATTACTTCTTCCATGCAATGGGAAAGAAAGAATATCTAAAATTTATATTTTGCAAGCGGGGGAAAGAAAGAAACTAAATTTATATTTGCAGCGGAACTGTGCTGTGATCACATGGTTATAAATTCCTTATGTTTGATCTGCAGATCAAATATAAGATACAAACATTATGATATTGTATTTGATTCTGCAGCACATACATTATCCTAATATTTTGTCTTTTGTTAATGATTTAGTAGTATTCTCCTGCAATGGAATAGGAATGCATGCCTGCTTGCAATTCTAACTCCATGAGGTACCTATGTTAGTCCACTTTGAGAGCAGTTCAGTCTTCAACAACATGGAGTTTTATCTTCGAAAAAAAAAGGAACTACACTGTAGCATTTTGATTATTGATAAATTTGCTCCCTTTTTGTGGAGTTACATCTTTTGCTAAGTTTTTACATTTGATTTAACAGGACAAGATATCATATTTTTGTAATTATTTGAAAGTGTTGGTTTCTCGCCATGTATTCTAACTTATGAATATCTTAGGTTATTAGATGGATAGTGGTTATTTATTACAACATTGTATCAAAAGGTTCTGTGAGAATTGCAAATGGTAGTGATATTTTGCCATCACAGTTGTATGTGAGGTGTTTTTTTGTGTAATGGCGATAGATTGAGATTCTCATAGCTCAAGGAGCAAAATCTTAAGGTCAATGTTCTCCTGCATAGTTGTTATTTTTGTTCTGTACATATTATTGAAATAACCTTGAGCTTTAGGGGGAGGACTAGGGACATGATTCACCCAAATCAATTGGTTGCTAGGAGAAATTGTATATTATTCCTCCTGTTATGGAGGCCTGGTCTTATTTAATGTCATTTGGCCCTGGTTTTCATTTCAAATAACAAAATTTTAGAACTTTCAATAGCGTATGTAGGTTTTGGAATTGGATCTGTAGCTTTTGTGCAATAGCACAATATGCTCCAATTTGAGCTATAGGTTAGACAAATTGCATAATGAATTTTTGATTCCTACTTATATTATAAGTTTTTGCAATATCTGCACTTTGCACTTTCCATTTAAGCTTCAGCATCTCTTAGCGGTTAAGTGCCCTAGAGCTTTCGAGAATGTTGTTCAGAAGGCAATCCCTCCATCTTTAATTAATTAACTTCATTTTATATTTATTTCAGTTGTTTTTTGCTTACCTTAAATTAGGCATGGCCACCGGTTCGGTTCTAACCGGAACCGAACCGTACTGTAGACGAACCGAAACCGGACCGAAACCGGCGGTGCAAAATTTTGAACCGGAACCGGCGGTTCAAAAACCCGGACCGAAACCGGCGTGCAAAAATTTGAAAACCGGAACCGGCGGTTCAACGGCGGTTCAAGGGCCGGTTAAGGTTCATGTGAATGTTAAAAAATGAACCTGAACCGGCCCAGAACCGGCGGTTAACCGGCGGCTTCGGTCCGGTTCGAACTGAATTCACAAACAAAATTATTTATTGCAATAATCAAAAATAGTGAAAAAAAAAAAACATCATCATTTTGGTTTAAAAAAGGAGAAGCATAATCATTTCACTTTTTTTTTGAAAGCTCATAATCAAAAATAGCCATTGAACTTTGTTTACAATTAACAATTTACTATACAATTAACAATTCAAACTTCAAACGGATATAATTGTTTTATTATAATTTAATTAATTAATTATTTTTTATTTATTTTTATAATTTTACTAATTAATTCCAAAAATATAATTGTTTTTTTGTTTCTGTTTATAAGGGACAATTTGGGAAACTACATAAATGAAAAAATATGTATAAATATGATGAGTTGAATTTATTCTTTTTTTTTCACAACCAAATTATATTCTATCTCTCCTCTCACTTCTTAAATTATTGGCTTTATTTTCAAATACATCCAATTCCTAAATTCCATTAATTTCAATTTCCATATTATTCATTTTTTTTCCATAATTCCAATTTAAAATTATGGCCACCAATTCACAAAGCTCCAAGGGAAAGCTATGTTGCTCACAGCGTGGAAGAAAATTGATATCAAATATAATCAATTGATTGATTTTTCACACCCCAAGAAAGCAATATTGCCTCCTAATATTCAATAGGTAAACACCAAAATCGATATTTTCCAAGAAGCACTTTTGCAAAAAAAATTGTTCAAGATAATGGAGAAATCAATGGGTTCGATGTAATTATTGCAAAAAAGAAAAATATGCCATTCAAGCTTGGAGGAGGATATGGCACTCTTCAATAGGCAATTTAAAGATCCACATGCATCCAAAGTGAAGGTAGGAATGGATGTAACTCAAACTCAATTATCGGTCCAACAATTATCGTCATCAAGGTATGGTGATCCTAACACTCCTCTATTTAAATATAGTGATGAAACTAATAAAATTGAAATGGCTAAAATGGTTTGTATGGAAGATTATCTTTTTCATATGGTGAAAAAATTGGATTTAATAACTATTGTAAAAAAAAGCATTAAATCCTTCAGCAAAAAAGATACCTAGAAATACACTTAAAAGGACTATTTTATCTATTTATTTAAAAGAAAAGGAAATTTTAAAAAATTTATTTGCAAATTTTAATGGTAAAATTGCCATTTGTTGTGATATTTGGTGTGATGCTTGGCAAACTCATTCTTATATGGGTTTCTTATATGGGTGTTACATCCCATTGGATTGATAATAAATGGAAACTTGAAAAAAGAATTATTGTACTTAGAGTTTTTGATGACTCTCACACCGCGCATAATATTTTTACCATGTTAAATATTATTTTAGAAGAATATGGTTTGACTAAAAAAATTTTACAATTGGTTTTGATAATGCCAGAGTGCAAATCCGCATCAATAAATGAATTAAAAACTCTTTGTCAACCTAAATTTTAGTGGACAGTTTTTTTTCATACTAGATGTGCATGTCATATTTTAAATTTAATGTGTTCAAGATGCAATTAACAACATTAAATGTATTTTTTACGTCAATAAAAATATTTAAATCATTTATGGACACATGGATATGTTAGAAAAAAATTTAAAAATTTTTGTCACTCTTATGGGAAAAAAATATAAAAAATTTTTCAGAAGAGATATTCCTACAAGGTGGAATTCAACTTATAAAATGTTAAATGAGTCCTTATGAATATAAAAGAATTATTCTTTCTTCATTTATGCAATTGCATGCCATCACAATTTTCAACTTTACCAACCAATTGGACTGTTTTGTAAAAAAAATATTAGATATTTGCAAGTTTTTGAAAATTGTACGAAAATTTTTAGTGGTGTTTAATTAATCCTAACCTCCCATTTTATTTCCCATTTCATTGGTTTGGCCATAAGTAAGTGCCATAAAATTGAAATGAAAATGATGATGATTTACAAGAATGTAAATATTCATGATGAAACTAAATAGAGTTAAAAATATTAACTGATTCCGGATTTAAATTTAGTTGCATTTTTTCTTTGTCCTAGATTAAATTAGGTTGCATTACAAGAATTTTTTTTCGTCTTTATTATGGCATTCTTTTAATATCGAAGCAGATTATTTTTCTCTTACTAATAATGTTTTAGGTATGTCCGTCAATTGTAAGATGAGTATTCTAAATTAGTATCTCCCCTTCCTCAAAGTACTCAGATCCACAACCTATAACAAATCCACTAAATTTGTTCATTTCTAAACACAATTTACCTTCATGCAAAATGTTTTCAAAAAAATCAAAGGGAGGGTCCCACATTCCCCATACAACAGAAATTGAGAACTATATTAGCACAATTTTGGAGTTTTTAGGTGATGATGCGAATCGAAGACCAACCAAAATTTGATATTTTGGGTTGGTGAAAAAGCATGCAAATGCGCTTTCCAGTCTTAGCTTCAATTGCAAAAAGATAATTCTTGCTTGTTCCCAATTTTTCTAGCTGTGTAGTGGATGTTGCAGTGGAACAAGCTTTTAGTGCGGGTGGACAAATTTTAGATCCAACACGGTCAAGATTATCGCCAAATAATGTGGAAATGCAAGAATGTGTTGATGATTGGACTAGAGCGGCGTTGAGAACTCAAGACCAGCAAAATTCAAGCGACGATGATAATTCCGACTCATTAACGGAGACTAGTGGCATTGATGACTAAAATTAATTGTAATAATTGGGAGGTTATTTTCCAATGTAATAAAAAAAAAGAACTATGTGGGCTTTGATAATAACAGTTTTAAATTAATAGAAGTTTTTGTTTTAAAATTTTATAATAATTTATTTAGTTAATAAAATTTAAACATTTTAAAATTATTTTAAAGATTATTATTTATTCATGAATTCGAAATCAAAATCTTATTATTTTTTTTAATAATGCCGGAACCAAATCGGAACCGTAATTTGAACCGTCGGTTCGCCGGAACCGTGCTGAACCGTGCCGGAACCGGAATCGGAGGTTCAAGGGCCAGTTCCGGTTCAAAATTTTAAACATTTCGAACCGGCGGTTCAATGAACCGAAACCAGCGGTTCATTAAACCGGCCATGCCTACCTTAAATTCCTTGCATAAGGAGGGCTATGCAAGAAGACAGTATAAATGGAAAAGTGGTTTTGTTATGAGACAATTTTATTGTGTTTCTGTACCTTATTTCAAAGAATTCTTGATTGTACTGTTACTACCAGGATTAGTAATTGTCTTAATTATGTCAAGGTGAAGCAGCCTTCGTCAATAATTAGGAGGATATGGTGGTAAAAGTGTTATATGGTTGTTTTGATATTGTGAATTGAACCTTGGGAAAATCACATTCCGAAACTTCGAATTTGAGGTTGGGGAGTCAATTCCCCCACATTGAAATCCTATGCTTTTAGAATTGAAATCCTATGCTTTTAGAACTGACATTTGACTTCTCTGAGTCCCAAAACCATCCAACTAGGATTTGACGTTGGGGACTTCTCAGATCTAAGTCCCAAAACCTTCCAACTGGGATCATAACATGTTGACTTCTCCGAGTCAAAGAAACATGCGAGGAGATGAGATTCCATCATTTTAGAACTGACTTTTCCATTAAATTTAGATACCAAAAATAATGATTTTATACGGTGAAAGATAAATAATTGAATTGCCCTGTGAAAATTAGAGTCTTTGTGTATACAAATTTGGCAAGTTATTGGCCTTCTAAACCAGATTTTTAGTCTAAATATAAGGTAATAATGCAATACATATGCAATTAGTTGAAAAGGGTTAATAAATTTGCTAGTAGGGGTTGTCTAGATATTGCATTTGTATAATCTGGCTCAAGTTGTAGTTTTGGTCTGAAGCAGGAGGATCAAGTTGTAGTTTTGGTCTGAAGCAGGAGGAGATCTTGATATGAATTTAAGAGAGTTAGAGAAATGAATGTAAAGTTTTCACAGCCAAATGCTTTTTGTTTCATGTGACTAATATTTGACATTTTTTATAATAATAGTTAATAACCCTTCTGCTGAGATTGTTAGGGAGGCATTTTGAGAATCTGGGAACATGCTAATGTTATCAAGGTAGTTAATAACCCTTCAAATGTTGATTAAGAACCATTGCCCTTGCTCTCTTTTTTTTTTATTCTTCTTTTTAGTTAATTGTCTCTGACTAGTGTTCAAACTCACAATCCCATAGCCTGGAGGTGAATCTAGTATCCCTTAGCAAAAGCCCATTGCCTTTGTTATTAATCATGTTCCTTGCCCATCTGTAATGGCATGGCATGGCGTGGCATATTGCCAACTCTAATGCCCACTGCTAAACTATATCTTTCATATAAGTATATTATTGAGTCAGGCAGTTTAAATAAGCGTGCAATGGATTTGTTGTTTACTCAGAAATGTATATTCTGAATTTATACTGTGATGCTGTCTCGAGTTCTAGGATGCTGCAAACGGAAAACTTTAAATCATTTTATTTCTTTTAGTTATAACTGTCTTTTGTCCTAGGATGCTGCAAACAGAAAACTTAAAATAATTTTATTTCTTTTAGTTATAACTGTCTTTTGTCTTGAGTATAATGTGTGATGAATTGTTAATTGACAGGGAACTTGATGAAAAGATGCGAGATGCACTGCACAGTTACATTGAAGAACGGGGTGTGAATGAGAGTCTCTTTAATTTTCTTCAAGCATGGCTTTATGTGAAAGATCATAGGAACCTTATGCGCTGGTTTAAATCGGTGGGTATGTTCATTAATGAAAATAAATCAACCAAAAGTGGTTAACCGTTAAAAAATGTGATACGGTGGATTTGTAAATGAATCATTTGCTACCCAAATCAGCCAAAAAGTTTTTTCCTGGTGAGTTGCAAGTGCTCTGGATTGAATTCTGTGGTGTTATAGTTTTGCAGACAGATACTTCCTTTTAGATATTTTCATGTTATAATATTATTTTTTTTTTTTATCATGCAGTTGATATTCATGTTTGATTTTTTTTTTTTAATCTACTTTTCTTAGTATATTTGTACCCATGTGCTCTCCTATGTTGTGTATAATGTCTTCTATGAGCCATACTTTTCTGAATATGGTCTATGTTTACCACCTGTATGGTTGTGTTTCGGCCAATTAAATAGTAATAACAATGTGTATGAACCTCATTTATATCGCAATAGAAGAGTCGAGCCTTTGTTGAAGACTATTGTTTACTCCTTAACTCCAAGTAAACTTGAAAGCCATAAATCCTTTGTTGAAGACTATTGTTTACTCCTTAACTCCAAGTAAACTTGAAAGCCATAAATCATTTAATTCATAAAACCTAAAATGGTTTCTTGATATCTTCTTCCATTTTATTTTAATGATTGCATGAGACCTCTGAGTTGTCCATCATAGTAAAGCACTTCATGAAATCTCCTCCACAGCTATGGCAGTGAATTAATATCCTTTAGAATATTAAGCAGTTGCTGACTATGGTGTGTATTTTCTTGCTCTGTACAACTGTTGCTGACTATGGTGTGTATTTTCTTGCTCTGTACAACTGTTGCTGACTATGGTGTGTATTTTCTTGCTCTGTACAACTAGTAGGAGTGTGTATTTTCTTGCTCTGTACAACTTTCGCCAAGAGCAGGAAATCGGGTAGGACATCGCATAATCCCTATTGCTTGTTTCTTTTTGCAAGATTCTTAGGCCTATTAATTGTAACATTCGATAACATATAACTTTCAAAGAGTTTTTTATAAAATGTTAAACACTTAACGTTTAGCATTTAATTTTTAATTAAATTTTTTTGATAATCATACTTATTATTTTTTTCCTATGAATTCAGTTAACTAAAACTTTTTTTATCATTTTAAGTTAATTAACTAATTAAACAGCTATTATGAACACTTTTAATCTAAATTTTTATATAAACGGCTAACATTGTGGCACAGACGCTTAATATCGCTGAGATATAAACTCAATATTTAAGAACTGATTTTGCAATCCTTGCTCTCTCTAATTAATCATTTTCATATTGTAGTTTGGATGGGAACAGGATTTGTTGGTGAAAATTTGTTATATGGGTGGGAAGCAGTTAGGCTTTTGATGGAGTTCAAAGATTGATGAATGGTATGGGCAATGCTATTGTATTATAGCTTGTATGTGCTATTGTATTATAGCTTGCAGACAGAGCCTGCCTAAGATTTTCTCCTAATATACGGTTTCAAAAGATAAGACAATTTTCTCATTTCAGGATTTTGAAAATGGTGGGGAAACTCAGATTTAGAAGATTTTGCTTAATTTTTTAGAAGTTAATTTTTTCAAATATTTTTTATTTTAATAATTACTTAAGTTTTAATTCGATTAATAATTAAATAATTTGTTTTCAAAAATAATTGAATAGTAATCTATAACACTGATTACTATAATCGCGTAGCACAATTTGATATTTATACATCACTCGGGTTTACTTGAGGTTTATAATTTTTTTTTCTAACCTTAGTATAATTTGACACTTTGCCTCGGCATGAACACGTGATTTTTATACCAATATATTGTTGGAAAGCAACTAGAAAAGATGCAGTTTGGATCGATTCCCAAGACCATGTTCGGCAATTTTAGCGGTTCTAGTAAATGTTAGCTGTTGTAGTAGCTGTCAACTGTTTTACTAGTTGTTAGTGGTTAGTTGTTTATACAGTGATTTAAAATAAAAATGTTTGGTAAGTGTAAATGTTTGATTAGCTATTTAATATAAAAAAAAAAACAAAAAAAGCAAAAGTCATAGAGAACAAGACAAAAACAAGTAATGAGCATAAATTTGATAAAAAATTTATAAATTGTTGAACGTTAGAGGATAACGTTTCATGAAACGCTGCCTCAAACTCTAAACCCTAAGATAGATATGACATTACGGAATACAATAATTAATTAAAACAGTGTTTTAACTCAATTAAAATACTAAATACTACTTCAAACACTCTTGTCGGACGGAGCATCAAACCTAAACCTAAAAAGTCAAAGTGACTTCTTTCCACTCTTTTGATCATAACGTGAGGTATAATTAGCATTTTTGAATGATTCAAGCTACGTTGGAAACCAGATATTTTGAAATTATTCACCTATTTTGCCCTTTTTTCATTCTTTTCACTATAAACAGGTCTCTCTTAGCCTCAATTTAAACACTCTAATTTTTTGGTTGTATTAACACTTGAAATTCTCTCTTTTTCAATCTTTTTGAATTTTAAACCTCCTTGTTTCCTAATTAGAAGTTTCCTGAGGTAGGAACCTTTGAGTTAACTACAAGTTATATTAGACAAGATCGTCCTTAATTCAATTATATGGATCGACGATCTAGTAATGAAGTAGATCCTATACTTATAATTCCAATTAGAATTCATTTCCTTAAATAAATTAGGCTTTGCCCATCCTTAATTACTTAATTTTCATTAAATTAATAATTTTTCCAAATCAATTATTTTTGAATTAATTTGGTCTGCCTCGTGAATCAAGATGGAATTGAGATGCAGTCATATCGTTCAAGCAGTCCCAAAGTCTCCAAGGTTCATAAGGCTAAGGTATGATTTTTATTATTTTTGGTAATTATTATAATTATTGTGGCCAGGAGATGTGAGACTAACCTAGAATCTATAAAAAAGAGGTAGAGTTGATACTCTCTAATTATTTTTAATTGATTCCCTATTTTATTTTTGCTCTATTATCTGCAAGGAAATAAACAATTATTCTAAAATCTTCATCAAGAGACTAGAGATAATACTCACTAATTTAATTTGATTTATTAATTGTTTTATTTTGATGCATAGAATATTATTAATTTTGATATTTTTATATGCTCACACACTAATGTTGATAAATCGTTTTCAGATAAATCTTATTTTAATTTAAGCTAAACAAATTATTGCTTTATACTGAAAACCAGTCTATGAATCCTCTTTGTCTTTCTTTGTGTTCTAGTGCACTTATACATTAGATTTTTTGAAGTCAAATATAAGATTTTTCCTTATAAATAATTAAATGTAATGTGACGATTCTTTTCTAAATTCAATCAAATTAAAAATGTTTTCTTGCTTGTAGTTTTAATCCTAATATTCAATTTCTTTAATTGGAATGATGCGCAGGCGATATCTCACAGCTAGTTAATTATCATAAATTTCATATTTATTAATGTAATTTTAAAGCAATAATTGGAATGGTGCTCCAAAAAATCGAAGGCGCTAGCGAAACCAAGGGTGCATGGGTAACCATCAAATACTCCAAAATAATTATGAAGTTGTTGTACGCTTGAGCCAACATAGCAGCAACCTGAGGCTTTATGGTTGGAGCATTTGGCGTGACAGGTGCAATCAGCACTTTGAGAATCCAATAGTGTTAGACTAATTAGCTCCAGCAGCTGGGGTTCTTTCGTCGCCATGTTGATTATTTAGATGTTTATGTGTGTGAATTTAAGGGAATTTTACTTAAACTGAATAATGTGAGGTGTGTTCCATGCTCACCACACCAATTTGATAGTGTTAAATATAATACAAGGCAAATAAAGTAAAAGACAATTAATTTGAATATTGCTTGTTCTTAATATGATGATAATTGGTAGAATGACATTACGCCTCCCCCCCCCCCCCCCCCCCTCCGCCCTCCCCCCCACCCCCCCCCCCCCCGCCCCCCCCCCCTCTCCCACCCCCTCCCCCCACCGTGTGTATTTTCTTGCTCTGTACAACTTTCGCCAAGAGCAGGAAATCGGGTAGGACATCGCATAATCCCTATTGCTTGTTTCTTTTTGCAAGATTCTTAGGCCTATTAATTGTAACATTCGATAACATATAACTTTCAAAGAGTTTTTTATAAAATGTTAAACACTTAACGTTTAGCATTTAATTTTTAATTAAATTTTTTTGATAATCATACTTATTATTTTTTTCCTATGAATTCAGTTAACTAAAACTTTTTTTATCATTTTAAGTTAATTAACTAATTAAACAGCTATTATGAACACTTTTAATCTAAATTTTTATATAAACGGCTAACATTGTGGCACAGACGCTTAATATCGCTGAGATATAAACTCAATATTTAAGAACTGATTTTGCAATCCTTGCTCTCTCTAATTAATCATTTTCATATTGTAGTTTGGATGGGAACAGGATTTGTTGGTGAAAATTTGTTATATGGGTGGGAAGCAGTTAGGCTTTTGATGGAGTTCAAAGATTGATGAATGGTATGGGCAATGCTATTGTATTATAGCTTGTATGTGCTATTGTATTATAGCTTGCAGACAGAGCCTGCCTAAGATTTTCTCCTAATATACGGTTTCAAAAGATAAGACAATTTTCTCATTTCAGGATTTTGAAAATGGTGGGGAAACTCAGATTTAGAAGATTTTGCTTAATTTTTTAGAAGTTAATTTTTTCAAATATTTTTTATTTTAATAATTACTTAAGTTTTAATTCGATTAATAATTAAATAATTTGTTTTCAAAAATAATTGAATAGTAATCTATAACACTGATTACTATAATCGCGTAGCACAATTTGATATTTATACATCACTCGGGTTTACTTGAGGTTTATAATTTTTTTTTCTAACCTTAGTATAATTTGACACTTTGCCTCGGCATGAACACGTGATTTTTATACCAATATATTGTTGGAAAGCAACTAGAAAAGATGCAGTTTGGATCGATTCCCAAGACCATGTTCGGCAATTTTAGCGGTTCTAGTAAATGTTAGCTGTTGTAGTAGCTGTCAACTGTTTTACTAGTTGTTAGTGGTTAGTTGTTTATACAGTGATTTAAAATAAAAATGTTTGGTAAGTGTAAATGTTTGATTAGCTATTTAATATAAAAAAAAAAACAAAAAAAGCAAAAGTCATAGAGAACAAGACAAAAACAAGTAATGAGCATAAATTTGATAAAAAATTTATAAATTGTTGAACGTTAGAGGATAACGTTTCATGAAACGCTGCCTCAAACTCTAAACC